AAGGACACTTCTTGATAGAATGAAATGATCATACACAGTGGTTTTATAGGGTCATGCTATTTTGAAAGGTAAAATCTCCCTCAAAACTGTATACCCATTGGGTACTGTGGAATGGTAATGAGGACCCAAGTGAATCAGAACAAATTCAGTGCCTGCAGGAAAAGTTGATGATGGGACACAGTGACATCACCTTAGAGCAAAAAGCTAGCATTTCACAGGAAAGCTCCTTTTCAGAGCTGGCAAAAGCCAGCGAGTTAGTACTCACATACGTTTGTGCGCAGATTTCCAGTAGGCTTTCAATTTGATTCAGCTGAGTTTACATAAATTACCTTGTGATCTAACAGGGATTCTATATTTTGATATGAAACATCACTTTGCACTGATGTATGTTTTGCTTCTGGAAAAGGATAAATGCTACTGCATTGCACTTTAGAAAGACAGTCAGTGCCCTGCTTCAGTGAAAAGTTGCCCTGATCGCAACTATGTCCCTGCTCACTATTTCTGGAAGAGCTGTGACTATTTTACAAATAGGACTGATTAATTTTGGAAGTATAATTTGCAAGTGACACTTACAAGGGAATATTGTGCAGGGATATCTGGGCGGGGATATTGTGTTCAGACTTTTCCTGCTTGCCTGCCTGCCCTCCTGGAACAAACAGCACTGCTTCATTTTCCTGCTGTATTTTACAAAGTTAAAGTAAACACTGTGATCACACTGTTTATTTTAATTTCCTGCAGTGCGCCAGCAAAGCAGCAAATTGGCAGTCGGCAATCAAGACGCAGCCAGTATTGAAATAGTGGAGCTGCTTGGGAAAGCATCAGTGATGCCAGCCCATTTTTCCTTCTGTTTTAAAAATAAAATATTGGCTTCCATGAAGTTTTACTTCCACCCTAATCTTCTCTAAAGGATCTGAAATTTTGTTTGTTTCCTTTTTTTTTTTTTGAAAGAAAGCTGAGAATATGAGCAACACCTAATTTATATGGCTGACTTGTTTTTAGTTTGCAAACCAGTTTTGTATATTGAAGCAAAAGGTCACCCTTTTTATATAAAGAAACGGGTTTACAAAAGTGGCAAATATATGCTATTTGTCTGTACAAAATCCATGGCATGCTTGTATAAGAGGAAGTTAACTTGTCTATAAATCAGTCTTATCTGGTTATATTTTTATCTTCATGGCAAGAACTTTAGCTGTGCAACTTCAATTAGGTGTATGATAATGTGAAGTTAAAGCCTCATGCATTACATTCAGAATATGCATCTGCCCCAAAAGGGAGTCCTAAAAGGAAAACAGTTATAGTTTCAGAGGCCAGTCTCACTCGTCTTATATTACATAAAACAAGAAATACAAATACAAAACAAGAAGTAAGAACAATGTGATAGTATTTTGTACCTCTGAGGTGTAAAGCTTGACAAGGTGACTCATTTATGGCTTTCTGGAGGATATTATACAGAAGGAATTTATTACTAAGTAAGTTATAATTCCAATATATAAAAGAGACCAGATCCTGTAGTCAGTTATTTTCCTGACTATATTTTTACTGAAAACAATGAGATTATGAAGAGGATTAGCTTTTTGTTAGACTCGCCAAAGTATGCTTTTGGAAAGTCCAAAACATGACCTCATTTAAAGTGGCTGAAATCTTGTGGGAAAGATTGTAAGTGGATAATTATTTTAAAAGCCATGACTTTGACACCAGGAAATTAAATTCATATCTATATGTCTTTATCTATACACAGTAAATCCAATAATCTTGAGCTCTCTGCAGTCACTTAGCCAGCTGGCAAAGGGAGCAAAGTAAAAACTAACAAACCCCATTCCTAAGGTATGCTGACATCAGTGATTCATGATTCATCAATAATAGTGCTAGGATATAAATGTAACAGGACATTATTGCCTTTTGCAGCACAATAAACTCAAGGGAAAATGTCTAAGTGTATCACATTGAAAAGACAGAGCTAGCAAAGAAAAAACTTTTACAAGTATTTAAGAGGTGTTACAAGTAAGTGAAAGTAGAGACACAAATGTAAACCTTTTGAATAAATTGAGAATGTCCTTTAAATAAAAATAGACAGTTTTCCACCTATCTAAGCTTAATAGAACTAAATTGAAAACTAACATTTTTTGACGTTCAATGTTTTTACATGGAGAAAATCATGCTGGCAAAAAAGAACTTGAGCTGCTTGTTCGAGAAAAAAAATCCCTCAAAATAACCATAACTGTGGTTTAATTGGATATCAGGATAAGCAGAATGAAGAATAAGATAGGTCTACACAATGCAAAATTATTAATGTCAATGACAGTAATTATGACACTTATAACCTATCTAAATAACAACAAGGGCAAACATGTACATATAATGTACCATTTAGAAAATGCCCATATTAGCACATAACTGATGATCTCCTGTGAAGGTGACTGGACTGTCATTGTAAAAGCCCATAATTAACTGAAGAAAAATGGGTAGCTATCTCCATAATAGCAGATATACCTGCTGCATTCCCCATACAGAAGAGCAAGATCTAATACATCATTAAGCAACTGAAGCTTTGTTTTACTTTTTTTTTAGCTTTAAACTACTTATGATAGGGTTTAGACTCTATTTCTAACCCTTTTCAGAACCAACCCAATTAAAATTCAGGTAACTTGTTTATGCTATTAGAGGACTACTGCACAATATTAATAATGCACTGTATAACATGCTGCCCTAGAGAAATGTAGGCTCTCTTTCAGGGACAACAGCCATATCGTTCTAACACAAGCTTCACTACTTAGCTGGAGGGTAAATGACTTTGGTGGCTGTTACGGTACTTCACCAGAAAAAATGTTGGTGCCCTGACCTGAGGCTTGCTTCAAATCATTGCTGCTTAAGTGCAAACGTTGCAAATAGAGCTAGAAGCTGGTTTGCCTGAAATGACATTGGAAATCTTCTTTTAAAGATTCACTTTCCAAACACTTATTATAATTCTTAATAAACAAGTAATTGATTCTCAGGCTTTGTGAATGATTGACCTGTCTATTTTACTGCACTGAATTTTCTTTAAATAACCAATAAACATCTTTAAGTAGAATTCCCTAAGAAAATATGGAAGATAAAAAAGTAAAAAAATATAGAGGGCAAGATAAATCCATTCTCATGGAATAATGTTAGTGAAAGACAGCACAGTTACCTTCACTGTAAATTTAATTGATGATTCATAACCACAATTTTCTAGAAAAGTTCTGATAGAGAATATGTAGTGGATTCATGATTCTGGTAGATAACTGAATATTGGTTTGACTTGTTGCAGGTAGTGCTAAAAATTGACTTAGTTTTCCTCTTTGTATTATTCACAAGTGTAGGCACTTGATTCTGCAAACATCCACTTAACTTTGAAATCAATCAGCTTACTCATGGTAGTAAAATTGAATTAGTGCAAATAGTAGTGTAGTGAAGGCCATTTCTTCTTCTTCTCATTTGACCAGTTCAACAGGCAAATAATGACTGACCTGTATTTATGGCAACATTACCATTATATTTAAGAAATACCTTTAGTGACTATATGACACATGTGATGTACAAGAAGAGGATGAGAGAACTGGGTTTATTCAGGCTTAAGAGAAAGCAAAGGGGAGATCGTATTCCTGTCTAGAGCTACCTAACAAGGGGTTATAGGGAAGATGAAGCAAGACTATTCTTGGAAACGCACTGTGGTAAGTGTGAATGAGAGGGACAAGTTGCAAGTTGCAACAAGAGAAACTCCAACTAGATATTAGAAAAAACTTTTCAAAATGAGGGTAGTCAAACACTGGAAGAGGGGGCCAAAGAGGGGTGTAATCTCCATCCTTGGTGACAACCAGGACTCGGCTGGACAAGGCCCTGACGGCCTCATCTAAGTTGGACCTGCTTTGAGTGGGGGACTGGACCAGATGACCTCCAGAGGTCACTTCCAAACTAAATTAATTCTATGATTTTATGATTACACATTGCTTATTATTTGGGCCAGCTGTATTTCTCTCTAAGGATTCCCAGCTCATAAAAAGGGAAGGCAGCTTTCCTAAGGAAAGGTCTCTGCATTCTAAATTTTCCTAAAACAAACACATTTCTAACTATACCATGACAAATAAACTATGAAAACCCAAACTAAAGGTGGACAGCTTAACTGTGCTCATATCAAACTGAAGTGCCTGTTATTGCTTAATTTCCCAAGATGCACAAGACACAAGCCCTGACCAAACGGCTGGTTTGTATTCATAACCACTACTCAAGACACTGAAAACTGACAAGATTGATATGAATTCCAGTCTGCCTGCAGCGGGGCATAGCTATGCCTAACAGCGGAGATAAGTATTAGTGCTATTCATAGCAGAAGATGACTCAAAAATGAAGGCAGGGAAAATATGCTTTTCTTCAGATGGAAAGTAACAGTGTCCAAGCCCAGACCTCTCCATAGGATTTCTAGCATATTTCCCTTGCAAGCAGCAGTAGTGAAAAAATGAGCATTGGGCTCAAAATTTCACATACGGGCGTTTCCCCATGGAGTATACACCTCCTCCATGTTCTAGAGCAGCCTGGGAGCTGTATTTTTTGGTCACAATTAGCTGTTGTGAAAAGTTGCCTAGCATTACGTGCATGCGGATGAGAGGTGAGGGTTGTGAAGTGGCAGTTGTGCTTCAAAAAGCTTCAAAAGTCCTGAGTCGCAAGGGAAATTGCTGAAGCTAAATCACAGAAGATATACCAGCATCTCCCATGGAAAAGGAAAGCAGCAAAACTGAAGCTAGAAAACAGGTCAAACAGAAATGAGATGTGGCGCATGGCATGCTATATTAAAACCCTAGGTTGAACTGAGATGTAGAATTGCTCAAAAGTTGGTGAGACCTTAGTTTTTGGCTTTTAGAGCATGTTAATGTAAGGTGTTATTACGACATAAAGTTTAATCCAAGGATTAAAGCTAATGGGCTCCTGAGTAAGTTTTTCAAGCAAGCACATAACAAAAATGCATATAGGTAAAATCTATTTACCGTAACAGAATGATATGCCATTTCCTGTATATCCTTGGGTGCAATAGCAGCCTTGGGTTCCACCCTGGACTTCACACCGGGCGTCTTTATGGCATGTCATGTTGCAGCTTGCAGAAGTGTAGCCACAGTCCAGCAGACTGGACATAAGAACTGAAACAAAGGAAAATTGTGCTTGTTTGTTCATTTAAAAACTTCATACCAGATTCTAAAATCAGATTTGGGCAAAAGGTATCCCAGAAATCAGGGCAGAAATCAGGTAAACTTAACATCATCACAGTGCCAGCTGTATCACACCATGGGGCAAGAGCCACCAACTACAAGGACTTACTGGTTAAGACTACTCAGCATCTAGAAACAAGATATCAGAGATGAAGAACTTGGGTCTGTGTTCAAGAAGTGTGAGACTGGTAAACAATGTAGACGTTACTGAGTGGTCTGGGGGAATCATTTTAAAGGCTTTCAAAGCTCTCTAGTACTTTCCAGTGAATAAAGCAGAGACATTTATTTGCAGTCTGAATTATGTATGCAGTGTAATCCAAACTGCCCTACACATATCAAGTGTACACATATCAAATAAGGGTACACAAGTGCACATATTTCAAATACTGAGGAGGGTTCCCCAGATCAGATTTTTTATTTTTTATAACCATTTCCATACATATGTCACTAACACATATTCATGGTCTGAGAAGATTAGATTGACATAGCACAGAATTTACAGCATTAGGATGTAAAAACGTCTCCAAATTATTTAAAGGCAATCTCTTAAAATACCATTTCCGTGTTATGAAAGTACTGCCTTTTTTTTTCCATCCACTGAACGATTCCCAAATGATATAAGCACTAGTTGTATAAATGCATATAGTTTTCAGTACAAAAAAGAAAGAAGTAATCTCTCCCTTTGAGAAAAATACCAGTTTGCTGAATAATTATTCACATGCTATAGTGAGTTAGAAATGAGGCACCTAATTCAGAAGGGAAAGTAAGTTTCTGACTTTGTACTTTATAAATTGTTTGCAAGACATAATGAAAGTTACAGAACACAAAGACCTTTTTGCATGTTGTCTTCCCCTGCAGTTCTGCTTCTCCCTATCCAAATATTATTTTGGATATTTGCTAGCCGAGCATTACAATTACAGGTTTCATTGCTTCAGGAAATCTCACTGAGGTGTTGTTTTCTCGGACAAGTAAAAATTTCATGTAAAATTCAAAAGACTAAAAAATACACACAATTTTTAATAATGATATATAATCCAAATCAATTCAGGTCTCACCAAGCTTCGTCTTCTCCCTTTGTTTTTGAGAGTGGAGATTAAAACAGCTTTGGGATTCTAACGCCACTTTATTGTTCATAACAAATTGAATCAAAAAATCTCCTAAGCAGAGAGAGAAAAAAATCCCCACAATGGTTCTGGTTTTACAGAACAGAACTCAGAATGAGATAAAGATTGATGCTTGCGAGATTTGGCTTTGGGATGACCCTCATGGTGGGATTTCCGAATCCAGTAGCAGCATTGATCACATCTCTGGGAAGCTTTCATTTTCTCGTACCCCGGAGTTTTCCACCCATCTCCAATACACTCACTTCTCTCCAGCCCCTGCACCACTGTCCTCACAAGTCATCTTGCCAGACCCCACTCCCTTTCCACTTGCCACTCGCTCTCTGAGGAAGGAGTTTTCACCTACCTAGGAGTGGAAGCAGTTTCATTGGTGATGCTGTTGCCGTGTGGTGCCTGGTGCGGAGCCCCTGGGTCACAGGAAAAAACTTCTTGCCTTAAAATGTATAAGCTCGTGCAAAATATGCGCACATGCCTATGAGGAAAGCAAAGTCCTGGTGTAGCTGCTGCCCTTACACAGCCCCTTGTCCTGAGCTTTACGTTTCCAAAAGCTCCTAAGAGGCTCAAAAGCAGGACAGGGAGGATCAAGAGGGGGCTGAGGACCTGTTCTTCTGGCGAGTAGGAAATAAATGAGAAAGTAAAAGGGAGGCAGCAGCCAGGGTCTTGTAAAGGCTTGTAAAGTCAGAAGCTGGGTCCTGTAAAATCAGAGAAGATACAGGGGTGAGTGGGTTAGAGAAGCATGGGTTAAAGGAGCTGTTTGGGAGGGTGCCCGGGTTGGGAGGAGGATGAAGATTGCAGATGAAGGAGGACCGCGGCGTGGCTGAGGCCGCCAGCAGGCCTGAAGCACCGAGCAGACCAGGGAGCACTTGCCGGGAAGGGAGGAAAAGGTGGGACGGGAAGGCGTGAGCCGCAGGAGGAATAAAGGAGCAGGCTGGAGCAAAGGGATGGTGGAGCAAGTCAGGGAGGGTGAGGAAGAGGTGAAAGAGACTGGTAAGTAGCTCAGGGTTTATGAGCTTAGAGGTAACAGGCTATATGCTTCCTTCCACCTTTTCCTGGTGAGCTGAGGATACGTGAGCCCCAAGACCCATTTTTTTTAGAGACAATCCTGGCCGACTGCAATTGTTCTTCCGACTGCTTTCTTTGTTTTTGAGAGAGACCCTTATTGCAACCAAGCTATATTGCTTTAAGGGTAGCAGCCTGTGAGAACATACAGGAAATCCACTGAACTCTTTGTGAGGAAAACAAAGCGGTATAGAGTATAGATAGGGCAGAAAGAGGGAGGAAGGCAATTGTATGGCTGGGAATCTCAGGAGCAGAAAGAGCCTGAGTTTCTATGAATTCCTGTGACTGAAACAGAGTTTTATGTAATAAGGCATTTTCAATGCAGCCCATTTGGCAAAGTGTTTGGCATGCTCTTTGCGTTAAACATGAGAGCAATTGTATCCTTATTAAAACATCCCAATCAATGGGACTTCAGCATGCACTTACTTATGCTACCCCTAGACATGGTGAGTAGCATGGCAATATTTTTTCTGATCTTGTTATGAATCATGTGCGTGCCACCATTTCGCAGTGTCCTGGGGATGACAACTCACATACTGAAGTGCTATAAAACTGTAATACTGATGTGTGTCTGTCTGTATAGAAGGAAGCAGATGGACATGCACAAACATGCACATTCCTGGAAGACTGGAGAATATCTCTAAACTAAATAAAGCCGATATGAGGATATGGAATGTAATTGTGATTAAAATATCATATGTCTGACTAGAAAGTTATCAAGTTGGGTTTTTGCTAGTGAACTGATTGGAAAGCATCTGCCTGTTCTTAGAGATTACCAGTGGATGTGGGTGTGGCAATATTTTTTCTTGTCGTGTTACGAACAATGTGTATACCATGATTTTCCAGCTGCCTGGTGATGGCTACCGACTGGAGTTGAATGTGTTAACTCCTGTGCAGACTGGGGAGGAGTGAGGCATGTAGAAATAGCACGTAGGTGTCTGGTTGGCACAAAGTACTTATCTAGCACCTTGGCAAAGAGGGAGGAAGCTCCAGGAACCGGATGTTAATTTTCGATGGACCACAGAATAATGAACAAAGAGTCCAGGTGTAAGAAAACTGTTTTTCCCTTATTTGAGTTTGCTAAGGGGGAAGGGCTCAAAGGAGAACAGAGGAAGAAGTTAGGAGCTAGTTTGTTTTGTTAAGTTTTCCTGTAATCTAATGCACAGGGGCACAGAAGAACAGAAAGTCAGACGAACTGCGAGGAGCTTTGATCTGCACGTCCTGTCGTTCATGTTGACATGCAGTGTATCCTGACATGCACTTAGAGATCCTGCTGCTGAATTTCAGCTGACTAATAAGGGCTTGGTTTGGAAAGCCTCTAATGTTGAAATTATATCTCTCATTGCCCTATTTCTTCTTACTCTCCAAAAATCAAGCTGGGAGAGGTTCAATAGTAAGCAAGTGGAGACAGCAAGAAGTTACAACCTAAATGTCTAGTCTTAGAGTAGAAGGCACATTTTTGAAAATTCAGTGGTGTACACTGCAGTTTCACCTAGGCATCAGCTTTCTTCATGGGGTGTTCAGAGAGACTGGCCGGAGAGCAGCTTCTTGAATCATAATGTTCGTAAATTTATAGTAAAAACTTTAATTCCTTTTCTGCTTCAAGGCACACAGAAGAAATAGTGGATGATTCAGACCAAAACAAAACCTCACTATGAGAAGGCAAATGTCTTCTTTCCTTTTTGCTAGAAAACCACACAAAAATTTGTTTTTATCAGTCAAAGGTACAAACCTATTAAGGGGACTATGCCAGACAGGCCAGGATATTCCCCATCTGGGAGAGTACTGCTGAACTACTCTACTCTCAGGTATAGTGGACAACATGAAAGAATGAGCACAGGTCTAATTGGTAAATGATTTAAGTTATGAATGGCAATGGGTGAGCAGGGAGCACATGAAGAAGAAAGACAAGGAAGAACAGAGCAAGAAAGACAGAACAAGGAAGGTTAGGTCAAGAAGGAACTCTGGGTGATAAAAGGAGCTTAGATCAGATTTAGAAGGCAATAAGGAGACAGTGAAGAAGAGGGATTTAGGAATATCTTAATGAGATCTCAATACCAGGAGCAGTGGATTACTTTTGCATTAGAGTACTCTAAAAGCTGGCTAATGGGAGTGTCAGTTAGAGGCTGAAGACAGCAAGGTCGCAGTAGTCATGGATGTGGAGAAGGATGGACTTGACAAAGATTATATGGGGAGAATGAAGAGGAACGGGAAGATTTCTGAGACATTTTGGAGATTAGACCAGGCGGATTTACTGATAATATCTATTGGCCTATAGGGATAAGGAGTTACACAAGAAGAAACGAGCAGGTGAACACATGAGAGTGCAGACACTTTCAAATTTGCACTGTCAAAATTTTCAAAATATGCTGAGAAAAAAATATCAATGTGTCATAAAAGTGTAGTATTGATAATTGCCTGTCTTTATAGACTGAGAGGAGGGACATGCACAAACATGCACACTTCTGGAAGACTGGAGAATATCTCTAAACTAAATAAAATGGGCATGAGGATATGAAACGTCAGTACTGCAGAATCAATCTATCCCTGTTTGTCTTGAAATCAAGAAGCATTAAAAATAAATGGTTTGTGCAAACATTCCAAAAGATGGCCTTCCATTATTACATGTGGGAAGCAGAGCCCAAATTCTACACTTAGAAGTGTTGTACATTTTATGAACGGACCTATTTGTCTTTGCAAGACTGAAGTTAAGAGGGCTTGAGTAAATGAATATGCACAGATTAACATACTTGTCTTCAAACAACGCATTTTTGATTACTGATCACTGATTACAATATCTTATGTCTGACTATAGAATTCTCAAGTTGGGTTTTTGCTAGTGAATTGATAGGAAGATATCAGCCAGCTCTTAGAAATTACTGGATATTTTCCAAGCCTTGTATCATGAAGAAATGTATTTATTCACAAAGGTTTTAAAGGTAACTGGAATGCTGATTGTGCAGACAATGCTAACACCCACAACTGATGAGGGAGGGAAGTTAACACTTCCTAGAGCTCAATCTTAGGTGGCTTTCAAAAGACAAATGCAGAGCAACTGTTTTCATTTCAGAAACGGCCTACAATACTAAAAAAAAGAGCAAAAGTGGAACAAAGCTCATATTAGGTGTATTATTTCCTTCAAATGAACATAAGCATCATCTACTGTAATAAAGACAGATTTATTCCTTGGATGTGATCACAACTGGACTGCTAGCTGGATATCTACAACATTTATAGCTATAGATTACAATAGGAATAAACAAGGATGATATATCAGGATGTATATTTCTCAGATTAAAAGTTAAATATGCCAGTAGAAACTTTGCAAGAGCCAAAAGGTGTCATCTGATGGGCATCTTGCAAATGTACCTGCTAAAGGTTGCTGACCCCTCTTTCAGACCACTATGAATCATCCGGGGAGCGGGTAGTGGGAGTGCATATCACAGAGAGATCCCGAAAACGCCAGGTAAGGTTCTTACATCTACAGCCTCTTTGCTGTTTAGCTCACATATTTTCAGCATCATCAGGCTCCTGTAGCTCAGCAATAAACAGTATGCTCCAATATAATCCCCTCGCATATACAGAACCAGCCAACGCACATGTGTGCACACACTCCAAAATTTATGTATATCACATAAGCACACATATTTGTCTGTTACTGTACTGGGCTGATAAATATTTAATGTCAATAATAAAAAGATGATCCTGATCATCTCTTCTTTCAGCTTTTGCTTTTCTCGAAAAATGACTGTTCATTTGAATTACCAAGTTTTCTGCCAAAAAGAAAACAGGATGTAAAACAGACTGAGAATGCACAAATGTCTTAGATAAAGATTTTTCTCTGATGCTTTTTTTTTTAAATATCAAATCAATTTGTCAGTTCCAAATCAAATCCTGTCACTTCAAATATTTAGATGGTCTTCATGCTACTTCAGAAATGTTTCATTTGTCCTAGTCATTAGCACAATTATGTTTGTTCTCTGGTAGATAAAATCTGGATACAATTGAAAATGCAGTTAATGTCAGATCAAAATAATGCATTTCCATGGTTGGTTAAAATTATTTTCAAGTAAAATAAGCCAAGGAAAACGTTTTTAGAACACAGCCTAGTCTATCACAGAGCAGCCTATCACAAAAGTAGTGTTAGCATCTGCTTTATAACTGCCTCACCTCACCTTCCTGTCCAAGTGCCTCACGAATCCTTATCATTTTATGTGCAAACATCATATTCCATCTGAGTGTACAGGGCTGAATATACCTCTTGGGATGATGTAACTCTAGGCATTTCTGAAGCAATAAACATACAAACACACATAAACATATGCATGCACACATCCTACTAAATCCATGTAGCTATGTCCATCTGAGGGAGATTGCACATTTCAGTTGAGGGAGCCAGTTTCTTTCTGCTTTTTGCTTTACCTTGGGTGAAGTCACGAAATAAGGGAATTTAAAGAGAATGTAATGTTTGTGAAAGCCAGATTAACAGCCATGAAACTGGGCTGTGCTTCTGCATCTATTCTAATATGGAAGAGAGGTACAGACTGGGTATAAAGAGCCTTACAGCTAAATGTCATCAGGGATAAAGTAATTGGTTTCCACATCTATTTATGATCTCCTGGGACTGGTCATACTGGAATAGTTCTAATGATATTCACATCTCTTCAGAAGGAAGAACCCCATGAATAATTACACCAATGAACTGTGAGATTACCAGCTGCTATTAATTCATACTCATTTTAAACCAGAGTGTTAGAAGTTAGGGGCTCCTGCAGTACACTGCTAATATGTTAACCACCAGATAACCAAATGCCAGTATCAACGATAGTTCCAGGAAGGCCACAATTACCTTTTCTTTGTTATACTTACATGGGAGAAAAGTTTTGACACTTCTTGCTATTCTAACATACGGTCCTAGACATGAAGTAGTGACAATCAGTTTTAACCTGTCCAGGTCTTTACCCTCATATCACGCCAATCCGATATTCCACTCAGGCCAATATTCCTCAAAGCCACCCTGGCTTTTTCCTCTTCAGATAACAGGCTGCAAAAC